AAATCCCGGTGTAAACTTCTCCCCCATTTGTTGAGCTCCTCTCCACAAAAGCAGAGTCTGTCATGTAGCGGTTGAACCTCACAACAACCCCAAGCCCTCTCAACAATGCTTCGGCACTCTTTCTCTCTTAACCAGAGATTTTCAAATTTGAAACTTCTCCTCCTCCTGTTTACCTCTCGCTTCGAGAACTTTACATATATCGGCAAGTGGTCGCAATTGCTACTCACTACCGACGTGGCCCAAGCATCAGCGAACATAGTGATCCATCCTTCCGAGACCAAAATACGGTCAATCTTCTCCTCAATCCTTATGAGTGTGTCTCTTCCTCTCTCCCAAGTAAATTGATATCCATCAAGGCATCAAAAGGAAAGTTAATTAGTCCACTACCCCAAACCGCATCGCGGAATCCCGCCATCATATCCACGGAGGTTTAGAGCACCCGCCTTGCTTTTCATGTGCATGCATAATGTCGTTAAAGTCCCCCACAACCAACCGCAGGAGGTTACTGTAATGTGCTAATCCTTTTAGGAGCTCCCAAGATTCCCTACGACGGTCACTCTTCAGGCAGCCATAAAAACCGGTAAGTCACCATGTTGTTTGAAGTGACCTACCTGCAACCTGCACATCAATATGATTCCACGAAGAGCTTTCAATAGTAATAGCGTGATCGTCCTTCCAGAGCAGCGCCAGACCCCCACTCCGCCCCACACAATCCACCGCAAAAACATGATGAAGACCCAAATTTCTATGAATGCTCTCCATTTTCGGCGAATCAGTCAGCGTCTCCATGAGAAAAACAATAGATGGACGGTGAGTCGCGACAATATCCGCCAAGACTTGTACTGTGGCCAAATTTCCTAGCCCCCGACAATTGCAGCTCACGCAACCCATGTTTAAGCAACAAAAAAACACCCGACCAGGCTGTAACACCGGCAAGGACAAAACTTCCCCACAAAAGAGGGAGAAAAAAACCTCCGAGAAGATACCTCGGGACCAACAAAAACCTTCGAACCAGAAAAGTAAAAAACGCAGGCCTTCACTCCAGCGTCTGACGGCGAGAAATCTATGAGCTATTATTTATGGATTCTTACAAACTCAATCAATTGCTCGTCCTCCTCCAGAACCACCTCCATACCAGAAAGAGTTTTGTGGAAAGATTTTATTTCAATATTATTTTCTCTTTAGTAGTATTAGTTTTAGTTTTAGTCCGAGTAGATTTGGTTTGAATGTTTGGATTTTTGGAGTTCTTTTGATAGACATAGTTTCAGATCTGTTCGTTTTAGGATTAAGTATGAGGTGACTGATTCTATGTCTACTCCTAGGGTTCACGATTGGATCTGTATGTTGGGTGTGTTTCGGAAAATAAAAAAAATTAATTAAAATAAATTAATTAAATAAAATGACTAGAGAAAAACAAGAAAGGAGATGAAGCAGAATTAGTCAAAGCTCGTGCTACGCACGATGTCCTTAAAACGTATTTGTTGCCTCCCACGGTGCTAGGAGCGTTGCAACAATCGTTTCCCAGGATACGATGACTACGAACTAGTGTTTGAGCACACAAACAAGAGTTCCAGCGAACGAGAACACAGTATGAACACTTGGGGAATTTTCAGATTGCTAACAGTGTGTTTTAGAGGTGCAAAACGTGCTTGGAGTGTATGAATTCGTGTGTTGTTGCAAACCACCTGCCAGCCATTGTATAGGAGGATTTGTTGTGTGTAAATGGTGAATTAATGGACCTGGATGTTGGACATCAATGACCAGTCCGTTGGGCATTGAATCGTCCATGAACTGTCCATTTAACGCTGCATTAAAAGATAAGAACGTTGGGCATTTATTGGTGTAACAGTTCAGATGCGCGACAGAAGACCTCCACCAGAACACTCTGGGAGGGGTTCTGTTCGGAGGCCAACAGAATACCAACGAGGTGTTCTGTTCCGTAGGCTTCTGCCGCTGGGAAAAAATTAAACGTTTCAGGAAGAAAACAAAAATTAATCGTATTTCTTGAGAGATACGATTTTTGGACGACATTCGTGTCCGCAGGTCGCCCGCGCACGCAAGTCGCAGTTTTTCTTCTCCGATTTCAGGATTTGATTTGAACCCCCCCTGCGCGCGTGGAGAGAACCTTTACCCTAACGAATCTTAACTCCTTAAGGGGGGAGTCCCTTTATAAAGGGTTGCAAATCCCTTGGGTTTTCCGGTGTGGGAAATTAGCACACTAGAAACCTATCCTTTTTCCCAGCTTTCCCATTCTAACGGGTAAACTTCGAGAATCAATTTCTCATTCACCCGTTATCCGTTTTGAGCGTACCATATATCGAATTGTAGCCCTTAACAAGGACAATCCGAAACCACTTTGACCCGACCCAAATCGGAAGTGGACCCCACTCAAAAAATTGCCCCAAAATTACCATTTAATGCAATTTTTCACACATTTTTCCAACACTGTAAAATCTGAAAATTGTCTTGTATGCGTTCTCGATTTTAATATAAAGCCGCCTGTTTGATGATAAAAAACGACTTAAAAAGAGAACTCTAACATATTACTTCACCAATACATACTTCCTTGACTTCACTACAACCCTAAAGCAAGACACTTCCTCATTCCCATTATCCGCTTTCGGAATATTAATCAGGAGTGTCAAACTCCATTACACATTACGTAGTATCACATAGACACATACTATATGAGAAATAGATATCAATAAGATAATTTATGTTTATAATAGAGCATATCAATCAAAAAATGAAGTAAACACATAAATATATGTAATTAAAAAAATGAAGTAAACGCATAAATAAATATGTGTGTATAGAACAAATATGGATACTAAGAACCCTATTAACTCGTGGTGATGGGAACAATGCCTCACTCAGCAAATGAATTTTTTTACATAAAAAACAAGGCACTCTAATGTGGAATAAAAAAATCGGGTGAACCAAAAGCACAAAAAAAAAAAGAACAAAGAACGAAGGAAAGAAAAGTTTCATTTCCGGAGTTGACCTTGAGACATTTAAGCTATCGTGATTCGTGAATTTGTATTTGGTAATTATAGTTTTGTTTCTGTAGAGAGTATATTTGAGTCTAACTAAAAATCTCGTATAAAAAAACTCAACACATAAAAATGAAATGAATCAATAGATTAAAGTAGACATTATAAACTTGATTCAACCCATGAAAATGAAATTAATTAATACATTAAAATAGAAATAATAAACTAGATTCAGCCCATGAAAAGAATTGAACCGAAAAGGCCCACACTTGTTTGAAACAAAGAATTTTACATAGTACTTGTACTAAATTTGCAAAACAGAAAATATTGAATACAAACAAAATAGCAAACATTAATATAAAAATAAAGGCAATGAAAGCAGAAACAATAAACTTGATTTAGCCCATGAAAATGAAATGAATTAATACATGAAAATAGAAGTAATAAATTAACTCAGCCCATGAAAATGAAATGAATTAATACATGAAAATAGAAGTAATACACTTAATTCAGCCCATAAAAAGAAGCCACACTTCTTTGAAGAAAAAAAATTATAGGTACGAGATTTGCAAAACAGAAAAATATTGAATACAAGAAAAATAACAACATTAATATAAAAATAAAAGGCAAAGAATTTTATAGGTACAAAATTTACAAGAACATAGCAGCAACTAGGGTTGTATACGAACCGAATCGAGTCGAATAGTAGGATTTTGTATTTGTATTTGTTTAATTTTTTCGAATACGAATTCGAATTCAAATATGAAACGAATATTAATTCCGATTTGTATTTGTATTTGTTTAACAATACGAATAGTTAACGAATCTTATACGAATATCGAATAGATTTGAGCATAGGTTAAATATTAGTGAAATATCACTTAAAATTAAATTTTCTTATATTTTTTTATGTTGTAAAGTATGCTATGATTTAATATGTGTTTTTAGAATTTAAATTCAATGGATCAATGCATTTTTAGATTGTGCACGATATACTAAAGTGAATCAATTTTATGATTAATAAATATAAATCTATTTCAAACTCTTTGAAAAACACTAACACACACATATTAGAAATTACACTTACAATGTGTGAAATAAGTTGATAATTGTATATATCAAAGTCAGACGACTCTAATTTTATTCTGCGAATCGAATACATAATTATTTGTATAGTATTTGAAAGACATTTGAACCAAAAATCCGATTTGTATTCATATTTATACTCTGATTTATTACAAATGAACTTAGAATCTGTATGCGTAAATGTACATATGAACTACACTTTAAGATATTACTATCTTTTAAAAGTTATTATAATTATTAATATTATCAATATTATTAATCGAATATATTTGATTAATATTCGAATCGAATATACTGATATTCTTATTTGTATTTGATAACAAATCAAATCAAATTTAATATTCATATTTGTATTTGTATTTGAATTTTCCGAATTCGAATCGTCTTATACGAATTCGAATCGCGAATCGGGCACAAATTATTTGATTCGTTTATAACCCTAGCAACAACATTATCTGTCCTGATGCTACTCAGGATCGAACTGGGGACCCGAAGATTATAAGACTAACGTGATAACTGATAACCACTACACCACACCAACAATTGGTAACGCTATTTGATCTTGCTTTATTAATCTAAAATATAAAAACAAAAAAGTAAACTGAATAACTGAACTCCTATGAGTGGTCTTCACCGGCCTGACGGGATGCTCTGTCCGGCCGAGCCCGTTTGAGAATCTTACCGGTGGAATTTTTTGATGAAATTTTTTGAGCATGTTCCTCATCAAGTCTAGTTTGTCCATACCAAATTTCAGCTCAAAATTCGACCAGGAAGGCATTCAAATCATTTTTTGAAGTTGACTGCTTCAAAATATACATATAAAACTGCAGTCAACTTCAAAAAATGATTTGAATGCCTTCCCGATCGAATTTTGAGCTGAAATTTGGTATGAATAAACTAGACTTGATGAGGAACATGCTCAAAAAATTTCATCAAAAAAATTCCACCTTCCCGATTCCCAAACGGGCTCGGTCGGCCGGACGGAGTATCCTGTCAGACTTGCTGGCACTATAGCTCTTGGCCTACAATCCAGGAGACGAACGACAAAAAGAAAATCCATAGAAGTTAAACACTCCCACAGAAACGTCGGAGAATATTTCCATATCTTGAAACCCTAATCCTATATCCCTGACGTTTAATTGATTAAGGTTTGATATAGGGTTAGGGGATCGGCTTTCATCATTCATCCGGCCACAAAGTGCAGCAATGACCATGAAATTCGCTCGGAGCTGCATCCAGTCGATGCTGAAGCTCGTCAACTTTCTGTTAGGGGTTGTTGGGATCGCCATGATCATGTACGCCATTTGGATGTTCAGAGTTTGGCAAAAGCACATGTCCGGCCCTTCTCCTCTCCCGTATTTCGGGCCCAATAGCTCCCCTATCCCTTGGTGCGTATCTGTCCGTACCTCTATGTATCATTTCTTTCTATAATTGTTTTGGGGAAGTTGGGGTTTATTCTTTGCAAGTCATAATTCAGATTCTCAAAAAATATTTTCTTTTTTCTTTTTTCATGATGTGTTTCCCACTCTTTGTTGGGGCAATGCAATTTTTTCGTTAAATGAGATGTCTTTGCCCATATTGCCTGGATTTTGTAGTGTCTCATTTCATGCTTGGTGTGTATGTGTTTCACAGTTAGTCAGTTATCATGGATCTATTCATGTTAGCGGACTCCAAAATATTTTGTGAATAAGGCTTGGATGTTGTTGTTGTTGTTCTGAAAACTGAAACCATAAGGTGAATGAAGAAATGAGGGATATTTACCTTTTTGCAATAGACATCTAACAGAGACTCTTTTGCCCGCACCTGTGATGTTTTCTCATATTGATCATTAAATACTACTATGAAACATTTATAATTGACATTATATGATCACAGATCACAGATGGTGTGTGTTTCAATGACATGCCAGCCTTTTTGCGTGATCTTCGTTTATGAGTCATTTGTAAAGTAGTTAAGTGACCAATTTCTTGCATGTTGATGTTGGAATGTTATAATTACCATGATACTTCCTCAGATCTTACTAATATATGTATGCATTTTAAAGTAAATACCATGCTTGTCGTGTTTTGTGTTTGCAGTTCCTATGATCTTAATATTCTCAATTACAAGCATCACTTGCATTTGTACTTCTAAGTTTGATTCCAATGAAGTAGTTAACAAAGACCTTGTTTTTACCTTCAATGCCAGGTTCATATATACTATTCTTGGTCTTGGCATCACTGTGTGTTTCATCTCCTGCTCAGGTCATATTGCTGCAGAAACTGTGAATGGCTGCTGTCTGTATATCGTATCCTCCTAATCATGTTCTCTTTCACTTTGGAAAGACCCATGTGATGTTTTTTTAATTTTGTTGTCCTTGAGACTTCAATGCCAAATTTGACATTTGTCATTCTTAACTAATATTTGTAGTACATGGTGTTTGTCTTTCTACTTTTTGCGTTCGAAGCTGCTGTCACTGTAGATGTTTTCTTAAACAAA